TATCTGTGAAAAAGTAAAATTTTCTTGTTCAGGTCAATAGTGATACTTAACAAAGGTTCTCATTAACCTTGTCTGTATGGATTTGGATTGTGAACATGTCTCTATCCGTGATAAAAAAAAATGAGCCCGTTTGGTCAAGGCATAATGGAGATATTCAATTTTTTGTCTTTGGTACGTGACTTTTGGGTCACCTTGCAGTCTTACTCTTATATAGCAACAAATTTATTCTTCATATGTTTAAGTAATGAATAAGATACGTCAGAAAAAGATTCTCATTTTCAAATAGCACTAAAAGAAATATATATGGTAGTCAAAAACAAATTTTTCAAGTATTTCCAAGCCAAAAAGTTTGACTCTACAGGACTTTATCTGTCATATAGGAATAGATAAATGATGAACGATAATAGAATTAATCATAATATAGTAAAACTTCTCTATGTGTCCAGCTCTTTATTCTCAATAGTGAGCGCTTATTTTTGATTCCATAAGCAATGACAATCTCTATAATGAGAGCAACATATGTTCTATCATTCACGTACAAAATACGAGAATAAAGATGATGTACTAACTGCGCATTTTTAAACGGAAAAACAGCAAGATTAAGTAACAGTCATAGTGCTTGGTGTAACATCTCATCGTTTTTGTATTAATGGTTAGTAACATCAAATTATGTCAACACATGTTGATTTACTTTTGATTAAAAAACTTGTTCCCCATAATGAGCATTTTCGTAAAATGAGTATTTTTGCTCAATGCTGATGGTGATCACATTAGAGAGATTTTTCTGTAAGATGATATAATAGATGGCGTTCATATCCGAGAGTATCTCTCATAAAAATATTCTTAAAGCTAAAAGGAACTTTGAAAAAATTAAAAATTAATTTTATAATCATATTTATTTCATTATTCTTATTATTTTATTGTTATTCTATGCTTGACAACATTAGAGGTCACATCGAAACACTATCTGTTATGAAATATTGCATGATGACATAGTACTATTGTCATCATTTCTCTTCTTCCTTCTTCTCCTCGAAAAATCTGTCATTCTTCCTATTTTTCTTCCTAGACTATAATTCTATATAATGTTGTGTTTATCATAAGTCAGTTGCCTATTCTTTCGTGATTACCTACTTTTTTCTTATTTAGTTTGTCATTTGTTACTAAACTACAATTCAAATAAACACTATTATTAATTATATATTCATTATGGTAATCAATAAATAATATAAAATTTCAAGATAAAGAATTTCTATTTTTTAGGGGTTACTTGATTTCTTACGGAGTTTTCGTGCAACAGCTCAACAAGAACTACGTATTTTACTTTTAGGTCTTGATAATGCCGGAAAAGTAGGCGATTTTAAAATGTATATCCATAAAAAGAAAATTGAATTTTTACTTTAGACCACATTACTCAAAGTTCTTGCTTCTGAAGATATTTCACATATAACACCTACACAAGGTTTTAATATTAAGAGTGTACAGTCAAGTGGTTTCAAACTTAATGTATGGGATATTGGTAAAGAATTCTGATTGAATACTTTTTCAATTGAATGCTGTTTTCTTTATATTTTAAAGGTGGTCAACGTAGAATACGACCATATTGGCGTAATTACTTCGATAATACCGATGTTCTAGTAAGTTGATTATAATCAAAAAATTTTTTTTTTCTTGTGTATGATTAATATCGTTTTCTTCTATGTAGATATATGTTATTGACAGTTCTGATCGAAAACGGTTTGATGAAACAAATCAAGTATGCTTTCCATATATGATTGAAATTTATTTATACTATAACTTCTATAGGAATTAGGTGAACTATTAGAAGAAGAAAAATTACGTGGTGTACCTCTATTAATTTTTGCTAATAAACAAGATTTATTAAATGCTGCTAAAGCATCTGATATTACTGATGGTCTATCATTACATCAAATACGTGATCGACGTTGGCAAATACAAGGTTGTTCAGCACATACAAAAGAAGGTGTTAAAGTAAGCAAAATATTTCTTATTTCATTCTTTGAAATAAATTTCTTTCTATTCCATGGTTTTGTTTTTTTTAGGAAGGCCTTGAATGGATATCAAAAACAATTTCTAGTAATAAAAAGAAATAGAAAAACAAATACACACTCGTTTTTTATTTTATGTTAAAGTAAACAGTGTGCGTGTGTATATTAAACAATTTTAGTATTTCTATATTACGTCATAAATAAAGAGAGAGAAATGTAACACATCGTATCAACTTATTGTTAATAGATATTTCAAGAATACTGCTATTCATCGAGTCGAAATATATGTGTTTTGTTTCTGAGTTTTCTTTTTTGTTTCTTCTTAATTATTACCGAGTGTAGGACATGCTCAATATGTCTTATTTAAATGAAATCGAATGTTGTAGCTTTTTATGTATGTATGTATGTGTATATGTGTATGTGTGTTGAAGCTTTTTGGAAAAGGTGAAAAGTATATGTACGAATGATTTTGTCAATGTTGCTTTTTATACATAAAACACTACAAATAAAAATATAGTTTCCATTTTGTTCTTATAAATGAATTCTGTTTCTTTACAAAGAATTTCAAAACTGAGATACACATATATCAATCTTTCACTAGATTAGCACCGGAAAAGTTATTTCAAGCATGAGCAAAGTAAGAAAAAGCCTACATAATCCATCTTTAGACATAATGTCAGAAGTAAGATAATAAATCTTTACTTTGGTTTTTGAAAGCAATAAATTCATGATTGATTCCAATCGTTGAAAAAAACAGACATGGAATACTTTTCAAGCCTTCCCTCAAAAATCGATCTTGGGTCAATTTAAACTCTTACTTTTTATGCAGAGAAAAAGGATAACAAGCTTAACACCTTGAAAACTGTCAAAAAATATTCATCTATTTAAAAAAAGTACTTTTCTATAAAGTAATAAAAAACTTAATTAAAAAAAGCAGGCACTGCAGTTGTGCATGCTCTCTCAGACAAAAAAGAGAACAATGGGCTACAATAAATTCCCTTCAAGAATTGCACGATGTGCAATCCGAAAAATATATTTTTCAAGCAGAAGGTGACGGAATTCATGAAAAATTTTCATTTTTAGGTAGATCTATTACACACTGGAATTGTTCAATAAAAATTAATGAAAATTTTATCATACAATATTTATTAGAACAAAATGAGAAATGTCGAAAATGACTGATCGTTGATGAAAAACCTTTTCTAAGTTTTGATCAATCGAATGCAATACGATACGTATGCATACATTCGAACAGTGAAGATGAGGGCGTAATCTATGACAACAAGAATTTAGATTTTTGACATTCTTTGTTCGACATTTAGTCAGTCACCAAATTACCTCAAAACTACTCCAGTATGATCATCTTATATTATTGAAAATAAACATTTCTCATTATGCAGACAGTTTAATAAATAAAAAATTGTAAAATTAGGGTGGTCGTATGAGGATCGAAACTGGAAAAATATTAAAAAAATGTGATGTCTTCAGGGTGGGCATAGATGTTGGTGTAGATGTAGGTGTATAGAAGACTGAAATCCACACCCCAGTTGAAATTCATATGTAAATGTATTAATTTTTGATCACAGTTATTTATAATTTCTTTTTAACACTTTCTATGCTTTGTCGTATAGGTTGAAAACTAGGATGATTAGGAGAAAGTAAACGTTGTTTTATATCCAGAGCACATTCACACAACGACAGTGCTTTCCGATAATTATTCATGTTTCGATACATCCAGCCGATGTTGTTATATGTCGTAGCTAAATCAGGGTGATTTGAGGAAAGTGTTTTTTATTCAATCTCGAGTGCTTTCTCATAAAATGAAAACCCTTTCGAGTACTCGTTTATATTGTAATATACTGAAGCGATCGCTTTTTATGAAGTAACCAATAAAGGATGATTTGAAGGAAGAGTTTTTTCTTTAATATCAAGCGCTTTTTGGAAATATGAAAGTACTTTCGAATATTCTGCAATATTCCTATAAAGCAAACTAATATTATTGTATGAAGCAACTAAATCTAGATGATTCGGAGAAAGATTCTTTTGGTAGATTTCAAGTGCTTTTTCATGATACAAGCCAGCGTTCGAGTACTGTTTCATATTGTCATATACCGCACCGATACCATGGTATGTGTTAGCTAATGACAAAAATTTATGGAAACAGATTTTCGATCGATTTCAATTGTTCGTTCATAAAATGATATGGCTTTTTCATAATGACCTTGATTATTTTTAATGCATCCAAATTGATAATAAATATCTGCTTGATCTTTAGCACTGGGTGTTTGCTGTAGAACAGTTGAATATACTTGTTCCGCTTTGTCGAATTGATCTAGTTTCAAAAGTAATTCACCGATACGATACCATTCTTGTGTACGAGGCGACGTTTCTTCTCGTATCCGTTGGGTTAGAATTTGCAGTTCTTGATCGTTGTCACTAGTCAATATCAGTGTTACTTGATAAAATCGATTATTTTTCTCAATTTTCTTGATTTCACTAACGTGAAACACAGTATGCAAGGAGAAAAGAACTTCTTGCTCTGCATTGAAATAACTGACACTATCGATGAGTGCCAAAGGCGTTGATGGATCAGCAATCATTTCACAAAGAATGCTAACAAAATCATTTGTGATTAAAGTACATTTTGCGAAAGCGAGCGAAAACTCTCGTATTTTACTAGTGAATAAGAAATTATTAAATGACATCAATCCACCATTCGTTTTTGTGAGTTTATCAAAGTCATGTATTGATCAGCCTTGTCCATGATATACGGCGAAGATTTGTTCCTGACGTTTATCGAATTGTTGTGAATGAAGTACTTCAATTTGGCGATGCAAATCACGTATAAAGAAGTCCATCTTAATGATAATATTGGATTCAAGAGTACGTAGAGCTCAATTGAGCATTTGATAAGTGAAATATTCGCGAGTATACCACCAAATAGATGAGTCAGGACGATAATCACGTGCAAATTGTGTAATAATTTGTAGTTCGCCTTGGTTGTCAGTGTACTGTTCACAACAATAGTTGACTAACACTTTGACAGATTGTTCATCGTATTCTAGTTCGAAGAGAATTTCTTTGAAAATCTTCGTATACATGAATGATGGTTCCAATTGATCTGAACTTGGACTGATTGCGCTCGTATGTGAAAGGAAGCTGACTGGCATGGAGTCTTGATTGAATTGTTTAATGGCTTTTTTGAAGAACTTTCAACATGGATTTTATTTCTTTATATATACCTTTAATTTTGGGTCACTCTGTGATCCATTGTTCGTGTCGTGCTTTATTCTCACAGACGATGCAGATGGAATCTAGTTGCGAATTTTCATGAATAACAGGGATTATGGATTGACCTAGTGATCCTGATACGATTATAAATACTTTTTCATATTTGACTTGATTGAGAAAATGAATACATTGATCAGATTTGATGAATATATAAATTGCATTAATAATGGTTCGAAATTGTTTCAGAGTTTTTTTGACAATCATCTTTCGATTCATCAATTGTTGAATGTAAACAGGTGAGCAGAAAATTTTGAACAATACGCCATTTGAGTTGACGTTAGTTAATTGATTTAATGCTGTTGTCTTTACAACGACTGTCGATACTTTAGTTGGAGCTGCAGTCTCTTTCGTGGGCGCAAGAATTTTCTGTTTCGATTTTTGTGTAGTCATTTCTACTCTAAATAGTTAGTCGATTGTTATTGTGCATATCATCGAAAGGATATAGGGGAGTGCCTTTTCTTGATCTATGTCTACACTCACACCTCACATCTTGATCGAAATCCAAGAGTAGGATCTGTACGGTAGTGTCTGATCAGATTTTAATAATAGAGATCTGCATGTGATTCAGTCAACTGATTTCCGAAATTTCCCTACAGGACTTTATTTCATTTTATAAAATACCGATGGCTCTGATAAGATCCGACTGTGAGATTTTTTCTTACAGATGTCTCATAAAACTATCCAATAGTACGTGTCACGTTAAGAAATTGAATTATATGTTAATAATAAGTAAACTACTTTTGTCGTATATACCGAGTGACAGGAAGGAATGCAGGGAATAGGTGTTATTGATAAAGATAAAGTCGTAAAGGACTAGCACACGTTGTATTTTGTCATATACGACACGATTAGTCAAGGTCGTATTCTGGAACTAAATAACATGACAAAATACGACCGTATAGGATCGTATTTTGGATACTTCTATAGAATATGTACCGCACTTATACATTCACAGTATATTTTTTCTGCACAATACAATATGCATGAGAATGAGAGCGACGTATATCATATAGAAGTACCTCAATCTGAAACATACGCAATCATTAATAATGTCGTATGTAACCGTTTACCATGCGAAGAATAGATGATTGGATGAACTTTGCATTGAAACGAACAAGGAACTTAACAGAGACAATATAAAGATGAATAAATAGAGCTGAAGAAAAAACGCCGAAAAACGTGTATTTCAACGTTTTGAATATTTTGTATAACTCTCTTATCACACATCGTGAAAAAGTTATTATATCACTGGCTAGTTGAAAATATCACGGATAAACTAAATAACACATGAGTTGAACCCGTGGTGTGAACTCGATTCGAAACACGTCCAAAACCTGGATTCATCGTTTTTGAGATTATAAAACTTTCGAATTGGTCAAAATCTCCAATTTAGGGATGTAGGTGTGAATGCATTAAAGACCCACAATCACACCCATATACTCACACACATCCCACACCCTCATAAAAAAAATACAATTATCACATGAGGCAATCATCATTTTATTTCTACAATTACATCTTATTTCAAATTTTCATCTAAACGATGTGCTTCTTCAAAGTACACACGAGCTTCTTGATCGCGTTTAGCTGCAGCCAACTTTTTTCCTTCTTCCCAAAATAATTCAGATAAATCCTTTTGTAGACGACCCAACAAAACATATTCATCATTGAATATTTCTTTCAGTTTAGGTTCAACACCAAGTTTCTTCTTATTTTTTTCAATATCGATTGTCAAAACATAAGCACTATGTAAATTTTCCATAGGTGATACGAGTGCAAGTATTTGGCGGGCATATTTACCAGACATAATCGTAATCAGTTTAATATTCGGATTTCTTTCAAGATAATCTTGAAGTTGGTCAGTAGATTCGAAAAAATGCCACTTTGAAATAAGTTTCGAAATATTCTGACAATAGGATTTTAATTGATTATGTTGACCATTTTCACAAATGTGACCATCGAGCCAACTGATTTCGAGATTATCTTTTAATGATAATGCAGTGTCGACATTTGCTGTAGAGGAGGACACATGTGTTGATGATGTCATGTTCTGCTGCAAGCAAAGAAGAACGGATGAAAAGGAAGAAGAAAAAACATGTGCACATGTAAAAATTTAACTTATTTTGCATAACATCGACTCATTCGTGTATTTTCACTATAGTATTCGAAACACGAGGAGAAATGAAAAACAACTGCTATTTTAACACAAGATTATTAATAGTTGTTGAATGATATACTGCAAAAATTCATATTACAACCATTTAATTAATTGAAATAAATCAATATATATAGAGAGAGAGAGCTTCACAGAGCGATTCCAATTCATGAAAAATTTTTATTTACTCGATTAAAAAATATCTTTTTTTTTTATTATTCAAGGAAGTCATGAAATTTCACTTTTTGCTACAATAACAATGATGCATACCGCTAACAAATTGTAATACACAAACCTACCAGTTCCAATCGAATATGAATGGTGCAAATAGAAAACTGGTAATCCACAGAATTTTGTTTAATTTCAAGATCGAACGAGTAACTGACTGATAGCTATCGGTATATATAAGAGATGAATCTTCCTACTGGAAAAATCCAAAGAAAAGTGTGTGCGTTACACTGGAAAATTTCATCACTAGAATAAGGCAATTGGAAAATTCCAACATGTATCAACAAGAATGACACAAAAACTTTATCTAATTCGGTACTTGACATACAATTCAAACTTGAATAAATAGAACTTCCTCTGAAAAACACATAGTAGAGTGTTTTTTTTTCAGTGATTTTTTTGTCAATATTTATATTTTTTCTTATTTTAAAGATTCGCTCTTTTTTGTGCTTTATTGACGACAACAGTGTATTATAAATTCATTCAAATAAAATGAAACTTGAGTCTATTTCCTTACACACGGTAGAGCAAATCGAATGATGACAATCATAAGCACACATCTGTCTTCTGTATATATGCTATAAGAAAAAAAAAAGGAAACTTAGGATGGGTATACGTGGGATGTGGCTGTGGATGTACTTCTTCATCTGACCCACACTTCACACTCACACTCTAAATACAAGAAGCAGAATGTAAGATAACAATGTTTCGATGTTTGTATTCTTTCCTTGAAACAACCGATTTTATTGATTTTTTTCTAATATGAATGACAATTAGACAAGTACTCCAAAATCAATATTGAAGTAAATAGTAAGCAACATATTTTGTGCATCCGTACTTTAACATCTATCAACATACTTGGCACGGCCGTATCTAAAAAAAAAGGCAAGAATATATTGAAAGCATTAAAACGTATGAGAAAGTAGAACGCACAACAGTTATTTCTTAGTGAGGAGTGCCTGCATATATACTTTAAAATTCTTTTACATGCATAAAGTAAGTCGAAAATATTCA